TGGATGTGACACTATTCTTTAGTTTTGCCAAGTGTTACCCCAGGGAAAGCCGAGGAAAGGATACAAGGTATGATTTCATACAACTGCAAATGAACCTACAATTATCTTAAAATAAGCTTAATATTCAAATAATAAAAATAAAAATAAATCAATCTGGGATTAAAATTCCATAAATTAATTTAAAAAGACATTTTGATGAGCACTATCAGGCTTCATAATCTATAATTACACATGACACACTTACATCTACATAAATATGCTTCCAAAGTATATTTCCCCCAATGCCTGCTTTTCTGTTAGGAAACTTTAGTAAACTTCATGCTCTTCTATGGCCAGTTGGCAAAAGTAGTTTTGACTACAAACTGACAAAATTTTCACGACTCATAATAATATTCTGGAAACAAACTGTTTTTCCTACTGAACTATTTTGGATCAAAACATTAGGTGAACAATCTCTCCAAATTCATAACTACATTTTTGTCATTAAGTTTTAAAACTACAGTTGCTTAGAAATATACCACACAGAGAAATACACATATATCTCCACTTTCCAGGATGTATGGTCTAACATTTCCATGACCATTTTCTGTTTCCCACTACTCTAATTTAGCACAAAATCTGAACTTAGCCACTATGGCCCAAAATGACCTGGAAAATCAAGTTTATTTTTTCTGGCAATGACAATCTGTGCTTGGAAATATAAAACTGTTATTCTGAATAAATTTTAAAGTTCCAAAGTACTAAAATTACTGAAACAGGACAGAATGAGCTGTTTGTGCTGGGGAAAGGGATTGCTACCCAGAAGGAACAGTGTGCTCTGCAGTCCCGCACCGCCACTTCTATTGTGCAAAATAAACAATTCTGGTCTCTTTATTTCACTGTGTCATGTGTTAAGAAAGATCTCCTAAAACTAAAATCCTAACAAGCCTTCATTTTGTCACCATTTTAAAAATAAGAGATCAATTTTGCTTGTGCAAATGAACTGAATTTTCKACTAGTTTGCTACTGTTGTGTTGGCTGCTCCTGTGAACCCCAGCAAAAATAGCCAAAGGAAAATTATTCACTGATTTTTTTCTAAAAAGAGGACTTCACAAGTCTCTAAAGTGAACTGATATTCATGAAGGGGAGAGATAATGAATCATTACTTGGCTGACCTATATTACTTTAGTTTTAAATTATGAATTGTTTAAACTTAGAATGGTACTGTACTCTGCTTTCAGAATGAGGGACGAATATTCCAGTATCACTGCTGATCACCTGAGGTCAGAGAGATAGGAATCTGCACAGACCACAGAAGAGCAGATCTGGAGATATGGTCTAAGTACAGACAGAACAGAAATGTACCATCCAGCAGTAGACAAAGGGGACAAGAGTGGCCTTCCTGTCTAGTCAATGGCCTCTTACATCTTCAGCCAGGCAAGAGGATAGAAGTTCTAGAAGTTCTGTGTTTGGTCAAACATCATGATAAAAAGCAAAAAGACCCAGGAAATGAAGTCAAAGGTTATCTCATGTCTTCTTTCCTAAGGTTCCCTTGATATATGTGACCAGGGAAGGGTGATTTAACAATCTGCCTCCTAGGCAGGTGGCGGATTCTCCAACTGAAGCTTATCATCATTCCTTAACTTCTTCACATTTTCTTGCAATTCTCCTTTCCCCACTACTTATTTTGCTAAAAAACAGTATAATGTAATACAGCCATTTTTGCATTCTAAAGCATCAACCATCCATATTTCCATGTCACATAACAAAAGTAGAAAAAATAAATAAGAAAGGTCCCTCACCTCCTCCTCTCTGCCCCTACACAATACTTCCTTGCCTCTGCCAGAAAGAAAGCACAAGGAGGAGTTTCTCTAGAAAGAGAAGTCAACATACAGTGACACAAAAAGTTTAACACAAGAACAGGAAAGAATAGGGGAACAGCTTTAACAGACCCATCACCACACAGATACACCCAACTCGATTTTTTTTCTCCAATAAGGAAATAAAGCACATTTTCCAAGCCATTATGGAAAATATTATTTTTCTTCATCTTAAAAATGCATTGGTTCTAATCTGAAATGTCCCTGATACCACTATAACCTACACAGGCCAATTATCCCTTATGTAAAATGCTTGGGACCAGAAGTATTTCAGATTTCATCTTTTTCAGACATGGGTATAAGTACACACAAATAATGAGATCGTTAGCTTTTCACTGTTGTGAACAAAAATACTTGACACAAATAACTTAAAGGAGGAAAAATTTATTTTGGCTCAGAGTGTCACAGGTTTTAATCAATAGCTGGCTGGGTCCATTGCGCTGGGCTTGAAGTGAGGAAGAACATCATGGTGGAAGAAAAATGCTGGGGGGGAGGGGAGAGGGACAAGACACAGACCCAAAGGGTATACCCCCAGTGACCTACTTCCTCTAACTATGCCCCATGACCTACAGTTTCCACCTCCTCCCAGTAATCCATTTAAATTGTTAATCCACTAAACAGATTAATCCACTGATTAGGTTACAGTACTCATGATCCAATCATCTCCCAAAAGTCCTACCCCTGGACACTGCTGCTTTGGGACTAAATCTTCAACACATGAGATTCTGGGAGATATTCCAGATCCAAAYCATAACAGTGATCTTGGAACTAAAGTCTAAATAATTAATTCATTTAGATTTCATATTTACCTTTTATGAATAATTTTTATTCAATATATTTAATGTGCTTGAAACAAAGTTTTGTGGTACGGAATTTTCAATTATAACATCATATTGGCCTTCAAAAAGTTTTGAATTTTGCAGGATCTTGGATTTCAAATTAGGGATGCTCAACCTGTATATCCATATATTTTACATGGTTCTGTATAAAGTAATATATGCAAGCTGACTAAATAGATATATTGCCCAATAACTAGGCAATTAAACTAATTAAATTATGGACATTGTAGACAAATCAAACATAAGTAAGAAGTTATGGAAAACAAATGTTTATTTTTAAAAACTATTTTTATAAGCTTTGGGAAGCATGAACACATTTCAGCTGATTTATAATCAAGCATCCAGAATATATAACAAGCATAACAAATACTTTTTGTATAAATGTATCCAACTTAGGCCTGAAGATTTCAAGTTCTAAAGACTGGGTAGGATGAAAGCTACAACCAGCACATTTGTCCAGGGAAGTGGGCAGCTGAGCTCCTCCAGGTGTCCCTAGTTCTCTGCACTGCCTCAACAGCTGCCGGCCATTCCTGCTTTAGAGTCTAACTACAGATTCATAAAATGCTTGGTTTTGGCATTTTTAAAACAATTTAAAGTGCCCAAGAGAACATACACTCTTCAACTCATTAAAATAAATGTTTTATGCATTCAAAGCACTAAAGTTGTTACACATTGTCTAACCTGGCTATGTTTTCCTCACCAGAAAGTTTCTGTGCCTTTGGCCTACAGAAATATCCTCTAAGGACCAGTAACACAGTTCCATGTCCTATATAAAGCTGCCCTTTGACTACCCGAATATTCAGGATTCTTCTTTCCACCTTCTCCATTCTCTTAACAGGGATTAGTAATATGGAACWTAAATCACATACTGTCTAACAGAAGGTTAATTTTTAAATTTTGTTGTTGATGTTGTTGTAGTAGATGGACACAATACCTTTATTTATTTATTATGTGATGGTGAGGATGGAACCCGGAGCCTGTCACATGCAAGGAAGCACTCTACCACTGAGCTACAACTCCAGCTCCAGAGGATTATTCTAATGTCACTTTATATCTTCTTTTTGACAGGTGATTAGGATCTGAAGTGATTATGACCTTTGTAGATTTTGTTTTGCTTTGCTTTTTAAACCTCCAAGTATTCTACAATTGGAGGGAACTCAGTTCAGGCAAGGACATTCCATGTCTGCAAACACATGTAAGCACCATTTCTCAGATGAGCAGAAGCCCAGCTAAGTGCTCCCCATGCTCACCACTTTATACTTAACTTCAAAAACTAGGTGCAACAATTTATATGATTTTTTTATAACTGGACTTTCCTTAGAATTTCTGCTAATTTGCAGTTTATACAAATCTGAAGGACATGCAGTAAGAATAAAAACAGGCAGCTCAAAGCAACATGCACAATGGACCAAAGCATATCTGACAGCTGACGGTAATTTCCATTTAAAAGGTAATAAATCAATTATTTAAGAGTTGCCTGTAATTTATTGAAAAACCTATATGATTAATAATAGCTAAGGTCTGAAGTTTAAACTCACAATGTCGATAATTTTCCAAAAAAATTTTGAAAATTATTCTACTAATGATGTATGGATTGCCAAACTAAATACGGAAGAAATGCTTTTGCCTAAGGACAGATGTGACCTAACAGGGATGATAATAGCATAGCAACAGTGAAGAATGGATTGCTATCCAGATTAAATGTGTGATACACATCAAAGGGCTTAATACAGTGTCTGACACACAGTACATGTCAAAAATCAATGTAAGCACCAGTGCAGTGGCACGTGCCTGTAATCCTAGCATCCTGGGAGGCTAAGGCAGGAGGATCCCGAGTTCAAAGCCAGCCTCAGCAACTTATCAAGGCCCTAAGCAACTTAGCAAGACCCTAGCTATACATAAAATATAAAAAGGGCTGGGTATTTGGCTCAGAGGTTAAGCGTCCCTGGGTTCAATCCGTAGAACAAAAAAAAAGTAAGGGCACTACACAGAGACAAACTTAGCATCATAAGAAGTTATGAACATGGGCATTTCTAGGTTCTTRTTTTCACTAGGGATCCACAACCACCTGGTTAAGTATTGCACTGGAATTATTTGTCTTCTTTTAGAGGAACATATATTATTTGCACTGAATTGAATTCTACAGTTCTGTCTACTGTGCTTATTTCCTCTCCCATTCCACCAACTTACTGAAGATTCTATAAGCAAAATTAAAAACCTCTAAGGTCACTCCCCTGTGTTTTAGAATTATTTAATTGGTAAAATGTTTCTAATGTTGTAATAACAAAATATAACATCATACCTTTTGGATTTCTTCAGGTAAAGCATGCATGGGAATGTGACGATCCATAATTTCCCAAAATTCAGAGTTCTGAAGCAAAATAGTCTAAAGACATTGATGGCAATAGTCAGAAATAAAATAATGTGAAAATTGCAAATTAAGATGATTTATAAATTCTTAGAAGTTTTGGGAGATGGATAACTGTTTCAACAGATGTTTGTTTCATCAATTAAGTGTTGAAGGTACAACTTGGGTTTTCTCCATTAGCATTTAAACTGATGAAGTACAGAAACAATATTTAATTACCAGATTAAATCGGCACATAAGCACTCAAAAGTCATCAAAGTATCAGAAGCCAAGTGCCAATTTTACTTAAGATGGACATTTCTATAATTTCATAAAGATATTTTACTTGTAACAGATTTTTATTTTCTAATAAAAAAAAATTCTAGGGCTGGGATTGTGGCTCAGTGGTAGAGAAAACTTGCCTAGCACATTTGAGGCACTGAACACAATCCTCAGTACCACATAAAAAAATAAATAAAATAAAAGGTATTGTGCCCACCTACAACTAAATTTAAAAAAAAACACACAATTCAATATGAATCTTTATCACTACTTTCATAAAACCACAGAGGATGAATGGAGCATTTCACATTCTTTTTATTTCTTTAATCCTTCCCAAATAATGGAGAAAGGGCGCTAGTCCAATTTGAGTGACAGGTGTTCATATATATCTAAGCAGTTGAGGGAAAAATGTGGAAAGTCAGATGACACCAGCAAAGGATTCCACAGCACAGAAGGTGTCCTGAGTTAGGGACAAGAGCAATCTAAGAGTTCAGGGGGAAAAAAATGTCCTGTCTGTTAGGGAGGGCAGGAATTTAGTGTATACTTATTGAGGTTTTCTGCCTCTGGTCAGGGAAGGATTTTGACAAAAGAGACCAGAGACACACAGAGCGCTATCAGAGAGAACAACTCCAACCACAATAAGGATAGCAGGAAAATTGTAGTTGACAAATCAATCAATAAATAAAATCCTGCTGCGGCATTATTTTTGTAAAGCATGCAACCACTGGTTGAAAAGAGGATTCTTCATCCCCAGTTAGCACAAACATTTCTCTTTTCAGTGAGTTGCTATGTAAAACAAATAACTAATAAACAGTCTCCTCATATAAAACATAACACTATATGTGGTTCGTAAAGTTAACCGAGGTCAAGCGTAACAGTAAACTTAATGGCCAACTACCTAACCTGAAGTCTAGCAGACCGTCAGTCATTTGGCCCAAGACTGTAAGGTTCATTATTTTCATTTCTGCTATTTTATAGTGGACTCATTATTAGTAAAATAAAATGGTAACATCTTCAATTTCATTGGAAGTGACTTTCTTCCTAAAATGACCTACTAAATCTTTTAAAATATTACTCATAAAAGTATCTGAGATCCCGGATCCGAGCGATAGTGCAAACAGGAGGCACTGGCAGAGGTTACCTTCATCACTTATGAATCTATACCAATTTAGGGCCTTACTATACCAATAGGAGGAATGGGCAGGTTCTGATTACTGAGGAAAAATTTAAAAATAAGATATTCTGTCAAGCCAGAAAACTACACAATGCAGAAAGAAAAGTTTTATTACTGAAGAAGCATTTAGCTAGATTTCAATGCTCCTCACAGCCAATCTGGTGAAGAGACTACAAAGAATCCCATTCTTTTTATACAGCCAAGAAAACACATGCACGTGTTCGTTACATACATGTCGCAAGAAAATTGGTCACTTGTCCTCACGTAAGAGGACTTAATGCTATATATTGTTTTATAGTTTTAATTATTGTTAATAATTACCACCAGGTAATTGGTGCTAGCTAATTGTCGTCACGCTAAGGAGCATAGGCAGGTAGTTACAACCAAGAGTTGGGCGTCCTGGCTAAATAAGCTTCTAAGGCGTCAAGCAGAAGGGGCTCTGTTTTCCTTGATGTTTGCTTTTTTTTTTTTTTTCCTTTCTTTTCTTTTTTATGTTTGCATTTGAAAGATATGGCTTCCAGGTCCTCCTTCCTTCCAGAAAAGCATTCCTGGGTCTTTACAAAGATTTGCTTGCATTCTGAGAGGAAGAGAGAAGGCGTTCACAAACCCTTCGTTTCTCCAGAAAGTCAGGGCTCGCCTTCCCGTGCTCCCGGCAACATGGAAAGCGGTCACCGGGCGCGTTGACTGGGATCTCACACCTTCCGCCGCGGTGCTCGGGCACCTGCTCTKTGCAGGCCCACTGCTTCCGCCCGGCACGACGCCCACAGTGCGGCCAGAGCGGCGGCCAGGTCTCGGACCTCCTGGAACAGGGGCAGCCCCCAGGGCACGATGGGGAGTCGCCTTCCGCTCCGCCGCGGCCGGAAGGCTCCGGGTGGCGAGGGCGGAGCGCGCGTCCCCCGCCCCCGCCCCGGAAGCGTGTCCCGGCCCGGCCCGGGCCGCCRCGGGACGCCGCCGTCTCTCACCTAGACCGCCATCCGCCGGGGACGCGGCGCTCAATCTCCCGGGCGACCAGCGGCGCGCAGGCCTAACGTCAGAGAGCGGCGACGTCAGACCCCCGCCTCCGCCGCCCCGAAGCGGAAGCGCAGCGCTGCGTCAGCGGGCGTCGCAGGAGAGCGGCTGAGCGCTCCGGCTGACCGCGCTCGTTTCGGCCCCTCCCCGCCGCACACGAGGCAGCGCGCCGGGCTCTGTGCCCAGCCGGGCCGCGGAGGCCACGGGGTCATGGCAAGCTGGCCGCCGTGCTGCTGCGAGGACGTGGGCGTGGCGTTCGCCCTGGACTCGACCTCGCGCTCAGTGCGGCCATCGTGCAGAGACGCCCGGTCCCCGTCTCTGTACAGAAGGCTGCCCCCGCGGCACGTGACCGGCGTCCCTTCTTCACACCTGCGTTCGTAAAACAGGTACTTGCTGACCACCTGCTAGGCGCCCCGCACTGCGGACCCACGGCCAGCTGACGGTCGTAACTGACTCCGGCTGCCCCTGCCAGTGACATGGTTAACTGGTGACGCATTCCCAGTCCAGGTCTCCTTGAGGAGTCCCTGGAGTCCAAAGGGCAGTTCTTCCGGAAGCCCAGGCAAACAGTCACGTTAGCTAGTAGAGAAAAGACACTGTTGAAGAAAATAAGACTGAGTCGTTATGAATAAAGTGAGTGACACCTGTAGAGAGCGACGTGCTCCAGTGACGTAGAGAAGTGCTAGTACAGGGGTCAAACTGCTGGTTGATAACTGTTTATTAGAGCAAATGACAGCGTGGAGAACTGAATACTTCCTGAAAGCCTTGTTCCTCCAGGCACTGAAAGTCTAGGAGATCGACACTTAACCTGACTTTTGCCCCACTGCCTGACATTGACTTTTGTTTCCACTCCTTAAAGAGTATTCCTTATCTGGGCAAGATAGGCAGTAATTAAAGGATGGAAGAAAGAACGGATGCAGAGAACTGCCAGCCAAGTGAACAAGCACAGCACAAAGAACTTCCAGAGCTATCCATGCACCTCATGCTTCTTTGAGGGATATTGAGGGTGGGACTGTTCTCATTTTATAACAGTGGGAATTTTAGCTGTAGGGCACAAAAAATCATTCATCCAGTTCTTTGCACACCCAAAACAAGATCTCTGTGTTCTGAGCTAGCTTCACATTGTATAATGACCAGATTTTGTTCTTAAGATATCACAGAGTGTGTTTATGTCAACCTAGATTAGGTAGCCTATTACATGCCTAGACTATCTGGTGTATATATGTTCATGTGGCACGACCTATTATTCCTAGGGCCACAATGACAAAACATCAGGCGATTTATGTCAAGCAGAAGAAAAAAAATGATGTGATTTAGAGGCTTGGTAAATACAAGATGCATGAAGTGAGCCCAAGTAACATCTATGCTGTGTTACATTTTTTAGTGAGTAGCAATAATTCTAAATGATAACCTAGGTATGGAATAACAATACATAAACCATCACAGCGTCATTTGTTGCCTTTTTCAAGTAACTGGTGTTGTGTCCTGTACATGTGTGCACTACATGTTAGGAGACTAGCATCATCACCAACACTCAGCATCATCACCAACCCAAGCAATGAGCTGCATTAAAACATCACCGTGGCTTGTGACACCACTAGGTGATAGTAGTCTCTCAACACCTTAATAATCTCTCAGGAACCACTGGGGTCTAGCATTGACCAGAACCACCTTGGTACAGCATGTGCAGCAGAATGATTAGCAGTATAATGTTTGTTGAATGCTTTGTGTACATGACACTTGGATGGGAAGATATCTGGCTGAAAGGCTATAATTCACTCTAGTTTAATTCCATCTGTGCTTATTCATTTGCACATCTTCTTGACACCATTTTTTCTTTCCGTTGTAAATGTCCCTTAGGCTGCACATTCCAATCATCCACATGTGACTTTTAGATAAAATGAAGTCGATTTTAAAATCCTATTGCTGGATTGCACTAGCCACATTTTAGGTGCTCAGTAGTCAGGTGTGGCTACTGTGCAAGACTGAATAGACACAGGACATTTTCATCACTGTAGAAGATTCACCTGGACCATGATAGACCCAGTAAGAATTTCAAAGGAAAAGAGAATTGGTAAGTTATAAAGAGTAGCCTTTTTTAAAGGATAGCAAAAAAAAAAAAGTATAATTTTTAAAAAAACCACAAATGTGACAAGTGATACACAATCAATTTTTAAAAATAAAGCCACCAAGTGTGTCCTTTGTTATTTTTTTCCCGGTTCTCTATTTACCTCAATTTTTCTCCATCTCTTCCAAGTTTCTCTCTTTATCTTCCCCACCTCTCTTTTTCTGCTCCATGATTGGCCATTCTAGAACTGAAGTACAATTTAAAATATTTCCATCCTTGGGCATACTGGATAAAGTTGAGTATCATCCTGTTCTTAAATTATTTGTTTCTGCACTCCCATCCAATCTGGGCCCCCTTGTGTGGAAGAACTCTACCATGGAGCTGAACTCCTAGCCTATGTTCTTAATTTTTAAGTCAGCACAGTTTCACTTTTACTGTGACTTACAAAATTAGTCCAGTAATAACCAAATTGAGCTCCTTTTAACTTCTCTTGTGGCCCTTTATTGTTTCTCCTCTGTAGGTCAGTGACCCCTACAAGAAAAAAATGCTCTCTAGTTTTTGGAGGAGATAGTACAGGAAGTACCCTAGAATAACTGCATGACCTACAGACCTTTGTGTTGGTTTATGAGAACACAATGACTGGCTTTTTTTTTTCCCTGAAGGGAATTTATCTGAGATATTTTTCCTATAGAGCCTTGTCAGTGACACACTCATTACATTAGGTTGTCTTATGCTCCTTCCTCTCCTTCCCCTCCACCTGTGAAAAGCAAGTATGAGGATAGGCAGTTTGTTTACAAGTCTGGTAAAAATATCAGGAAGTCTACCCAAGAGAGCTAATTTTAAAGTAAGCCCCAGGACTGTACAGAGGGGGCATGAGAAATTACAATTAACCCCAACTTTATTTTCATCCTATGAACCACTACACAGTAAAACTCTGTGCCCTTGAAAGTTTGAATGAAATGATTGCAAACAGGCCTCCCAAGTTGGAAACTACCACAGCTTTCACTGGTATTTCTGGGTTCTATCCAATGCAAATGCAAAATTTAAAAAAAAAAACAACTTATTGGTCTCTTTGTATTTGCCAGGCTGTTCATAGACAACGTCTCATTTAATTTCGAATCCTTCCAAACATCACTCAGTCAGATGGTACTTATTGTTTACTTTGACCCAGACGATGGAAGTGGCCAAGGGCATGGCTCAACATGTGAGCACAGAAGTGCACTTGGACTCCATGTGGGCCTAAGTGGAAGCACCTGGGCCTCACATAGCGTGTTAGTTGACTCTGCCAGCACACCAGTCCCCGTGAGGCATCAGCCTACCGTGGATTAGAAGCAGATGTATGTACCCACAAAGCATCTAATCTGCAAACACCTTTGTCCTAGACTTTCCTCATTTTCCCATTCAACTTCCGGTTTTCAGGAAAGGTAAGCCACATGAGACCACTTGCTTTGTTTTGCTTACCCCTATATATTTTCTTGCCACCAAGATATAGGTTGGATTTTTTTTTTCCTGAGATATAACTGCTGTCAAATTTAAAGTTTTAGACAGCTTTATAAATTGCACATTTGAGCCCCCCAAACTGGCGTGGAGATGAATTTGATCACAAACGATTATTTGTAAGTTTAAGTTAAGTGTAAACCTGAGCACATAATGAAATACAGGAACAGTGTTTCAATGGCATTTCTCATAGGGGTTCAAATGCCTTGTCACCCATGTGGGAATAAACTGTGCCCAACCCAAAATCTATGAGCCTTGAGAATATGGTCATTGAACAAAATCTCCAGTGACATGAGTTAGTCCTTAATGAATGTTAACTCTTGAACTTTAACTCATACACTACAGCAAAACATTTGATGGTTGTAAATTAATTCCTTGTGGCCTATTTTCTATCAATAAGAGCTTTATTCAATAAGAGCTTTATCCAAAGATGTACTATGTGACATATCTGTTACATGTATATGTTTTCAAACAAAAGAAATAAAGCTCTAATGGCACAAACTTAATACTCTTATAGTGAGGCCCTGAGGGCTGGGGCTGTAGCTCAGTGGTAAAGCGCTTGTCTTGCATGTGTAAGGCACTAGGTTCAATCCTCAGCACCACATAAAAATAAAGTTACTGTGTGTTTACAACTAAAAATATTTTTTTAAAAAAAATATGGCCCTGATAACTATTTAAGAGATTAATCTGTAATGTAAATTACCCAAATTCCTCATTAAATTTAGTATCCAAAATCTGACCTATGACTAGTCCTTAATGAATGTTAGTTCATTCGAAGACTGAGAATAACTGCCTTATGCATTTAAAAAACTTTTGTAGACTTTAGTGTTTGTGTGTTTAACAAAATTACTGCTTATTTCTGAGATTTTTTCTTAGAACTCTAGTGAAGAATCTTAAGACTAACTCAATGCTTGTTTTGGTAAGTGATTGGCAAAATTTCATCTCCTTTGTTGAGATGAAGTTCATATTTCTGTGCCTGTAATTTTAAGTGGCTAATGAATTTCTAGGAAACAAAGTAGAGCAGTTTTCTTGTCCTTTTATTATGTCTCTTTAGAAAGTTTTAATGCCATTGAGGAATTGGGAATCATCATAAAGATGTCACTAACTACTAATATGAAATATCAAGCATTATTATCAGATCTGTCAAATAGATGAGATTATAATAACTATAATAGTCTGGTTCTCAAGGGTGTAGAGCAACTAGCATTCTTAAACATCACTCTTAGGGGAAAAATAGTACACTTATTACATTTTAAACCTCTTAAAAGTTTCAAAATTATTGTAGTGAACAGTTGATTCCCCCCCCCTCTTTTTTTTGGCAGGAATCCTAATTTCTTTACCCTGATCCTCTACCCTGTCCCCAAACACATGTGAATCAACCCAAGTTCAGGAGTGAGTTCAGATTAAGTCACTTCAACTAGCCCTTCCCCCTTGCCAGAGATTAAATCAGGAAGGAGCCTGTGACCCAATTCTGACTAAAAAGGCTCCAAGAGAAAGGTCCTTAGAAGCTTTTGGAAAGTTCTTATTAGCATATGTACATACTGTCCATCAATCTTATTTATAATGTTTAAAAACAGGAAATACTAAAATGTGAAATAATTTGATTTGTGCAAACAAGATTGCACAGCTATTAGGACGATGCTGTCCTTCAGTGAGAATTTTGCAATATGTAGCTCTAGAGGAAAAAGCAAGTTAAATTAATACTTAAAATGGTTCTAACGGACATTCTGAATAAACAGGTTATTATTTCTAAAGTGTATGTTTTATTGGAATACGAAGGGACCTAACAGCCAAGGGAAGAGGTAGACAGTTTGAGCAAAGTGGAAACCAGGGCTACTTTGAAATTCAACTACTGATTCAGAACTCCTAGAAGGCCACAGAGAGGCTTAGTCCTTCAAATCTGCCATGAGTGAAAGCTGGCTCTCCGTTCTCTTATAGCTGGCAGCCACTGCACATAGCAGGGCAGCTTTGCCACCAAGAGGAAGACAGCCTGCTTCTGTTCCCAACCTCCAGTTAGGAGAATGCCAGGAAATAACTTTCTTTGGCACACCTTGAGTTACATGCCAATCCCTTGACCAACTCACTAAGGCCAGTGAGAACCACTCCTAGGGGGCCAGGCAGGCAAGGCCAGACTATGACACCTCCCTTTCTAAATCACACCACTCGAGGAGGAGAATCCAGGGAGGGACAGTCCTGTTCCAGAAGAAAGGAAATGCGCTGGGCAGTCAAAATAAACATTTCGTACATACATTTAAGTGAGAATCAGAATGAGCTAGGAGAAGATTTAAAATTAAGCAGTGACTCTTGCTCTCCTCCCACAAATGGTAATGAGAGGAGAATACTCATTTTCTCCTAAGGAGAAAAGCTTCTTAGGAGTTTATGGTAAGTAAGTGTCCTAACCCTGAGAATTACCCCCTCCTGCAATGGATGTTTTTGAATAACAAAAATAACTGTTTAACTGGGCATCACAGGCCAAATGGTAATAAAAGGGAAATTGATGAGAGATCACAGATTCACCAAAAGCAAAGTTTAAATTAATAAAAAATAAACTCGTGTAATCTTCTGAGTTTTCTGTGAAGGGGGTGGCTCTGTTGAACTGTGTCGGTGTCATTTGTCTTGCCCTTCTAACGTGATGTATCTGCAAATCTACAAACGTTCAAATCATGTAGAGGTAACTGCAAAATCACTTTTTGCTGACATGATCTTGAGAACAAACTTAAAGAGTCTGGGGTCTTACAACGGTCACTGTTCTTTCTTAATGCCCTTGGGGCTTGTAGAAGAGGTCTCTTCAGTTAGTGTGTTGAGGTGACCAGTCAGTACACCTACGCTTCTGGGACCAAGGGCAGCAAGTGCAGTCACACTCTGTTCCTGTATCACCAGCCTGGTGCAGAGTGGATAAGCCTGCGTCCCGAGGCTGCCCTCCTCGCCCGGTTCCTTTCTCTGTAAGCCTGTCACGCGAACCGCGCTGGCGCGCCTCCTAACCCGGCTTTCCCGGAAAGCTGCCTCGGCTCCCGACGCCTTTCGCACATCTGTCGGGGCGGGCCCGAGGGCCGGCGTCACCCTCGCGCTGACGGCCGGGGGCCGCGGGGACCCGCGCCGGCCTGAGCCATCGCGTGACAGCTCCGCGGGCGCCGCCCTGCACCTGCCACCGCGGGCGGGGCCCCGGGGCCAGTGCGTGCGGCCGCGCGCAGGCGGGTCACGCAAGCCGGCGCCCGCCGGCCGCTCGCGTGCGCTGCCCGGGCGGCCCGCTGGAGCCGGCGTCGCGTGCAGGCCAGCCTGACCCCGCGGGGACGCGGCCCGGTCAGTTCCGGCCCCGCGCGGCGCGCAGACACCCGGGCGGGGGTCGCCGGCACCGCTGACGTCGGCGCCGCCCCGGAGCAGGGGACGGGCCGTCACTGCCGCAGCGCCCCCGCCCCCACGCGCGTGCGGGCGAGGGGAAGCGCTGTCGTGACGGCGGCGATGAGATCAGCCTGAGTAACCGCAGCGCCGGGCCGCGAAGTGCAGGCAGTCACGCAGCCGCC